ATGAACACTTTACACGCGTTTGTGCACGCATCCGGCAATGTAGCTCATGTTTATTGGAGTGAAATATGTTTCAGACAAACAGCACAATGAAGAATAAAGCAAAAGTTATATGTTTAGTGCACGTTTTGCGGGTAAGTCTTATGGTTTTCAAGGCAACTAAGCAGGAATATTTACGCTATGCGTACATTTCTTAACCTGTGTTAACTTCCGTAATCAACAATGGTCTTCCAAACACACGCAAAGATTATGTGACAATAAACAATGATCTTTCGAATAGGCAGATGACTACAAAAGTCTCTTACTCTCCATAAAATTTAAATAAAGCGTCCACCCTCTTCAGTATATACAATAAAATCCCAGTGGTGAAGCGTGAGGTTTCAGTGCGCATGCGCTGGTTTCAGGCTACCGACTCTGTTGATGGATAGTTATGAGAACAATAGTATTTCTGTCATCAGCTGTAGTAATTTTTACGAAGAGTTCTTATTTAGAATAGCTTATTAAAACTGTATATTATATATTTTCGGTGGGTACGCGGTAGTATATTTGGTTGAGGCACTATACTACAAGCCGGAAAGTCGCGGGATCGAATACCAATGAGGTGAATTTTTTCAATTTACTTAATCCTTTCAGCTGCACTATGGCCCTGGGGTCGACTCCGCCTCTAACAGAAATGAGTATCAGGAATATTCTTGGGGGTGAAGAACGGCCGGTGCATAGGGCTGACAACCTTGCCGCCATCTATGAGCCGATTGTCTAGAAAATGTGGGAACCTCAACATCTCACAACCCCATGGGCCTCCACGGCCTGTTACAGGGATAGCTTTACTTTACGTACTTTATTTTGTTATATATCTNGCGGCCGGCGCGTAAGGCTCACAACATTGCCGCCATCTATAAGCCCATTGTCTAGAAAATGTGGGAACCTCAACATCTCACAACCTTATGGGCCTCCACGGCCTGTTACAGGGATAGCTTTACTTTACGTACTTTATTTTGTTATATATCTTCTGTATTGTATTGTACATTTTATTTAAACACGCTCACTCTGTATATATTCTACACTGAATCAAAGAATGTATATCCATATGCCAGTTGCCCATTCCATGTTAACGTACAAGTCAGTCCTATTCTTTACATCCGTCTAAATTTGTATTAAATGTTGAGGGGAAGGAATGAATGGGCGTTGATTATGACAACACAGGGAATATATCATGACGCTACTGAGAAATAAATCGGGAGATATTAGAATTATGGCGCTTAGTAATTATGAACGGAATGTGAAACGTACACGGGGAGAGGGGACCCTCATTCAAAGTCAAAGTTACGCTACGACCGACGGTCAGTCGGCCAGTCTATCTTGGAATAAAGCACTCGTCTGGGGTCTAAGACTGGATTTTTATTACTCTAAGACAGTTGCTCGTTTCTTGATGTGAGGCGCTCTCTCTGACGAGAGGGCGGGTTTGTCGTTTGCCAGAATCACAGTCAACAGTGATAAGTCTGCTGTCAGTATGTACAATTTTTATTTTAAATGTTATTAAATGCATGTAAACACAACACAGACAAGACGTCTTTCAGTCCAGCCTCAGCACAGCAGGTTTTATCCTATCATTAGTAGCTCCTGCTTCAACAGCAGTCTAATCACTTGAAAGGTCGCAAGGTTTACCGCCGCCAAGTTTAAGACTCTTATATTTCACGTGTCGTGATTCGCCTTGTCCAATGTGCGAACTTAGGGGACCCTAGAATATAGTGTCTATTATATACATGTATATATGCAAGAATTGCTGCGAAAAAATAATCGCCTAATTTCCTTCATAAGGCAGGAACCGCATAGAAATTCTTATATTGTTGCGTGTCTATTTGTTGCTGCGGTAAAGTATTTGCCTAGCCGTTTGCCTAGCAAATATAAGATATATATAACCAAATATAAGATTTTTACTGAGACTAGCCTAGCCTAGAAACGAGAGGAGGATACACATAGAGACAAAGAGATTAGTGAGAAGGATTTATGAAGTACGCAGCTGAGATGGGCTCATTTGCCATGATATACACACTTAAATTTCATAAAGATGGATTTATCCATAGGGGAACACACACACACAAACAAAAAATTTCGAAGCAAGAAAATCAGTAGTTACTATAGGATTCTGACGATGGTGTATAACACACTGATATATTGGGTTTTTGGACTTTATCCATCGTCCAGTGATTGAGGCTAGCTCTTTCTAACGGACCCAACAGAATAGGTGTTTTCCTTCACCTGAGGACGGAAACAGATTCAGTTTCCGAAACGTCGTGTTTTTATTTGTTATCTTAAAAACCAGGACGATGGATAAAGTCCAAAAACCCAATATATCAGCAAGAAAATCAGGCTAATAAAATGAAATATAATTTTAAATAAGAGAATAAATAATACTTGAGATTATCTAAGCAAATAAAATTAGAGCTACCGCAATAAATAATTGACCTTGAGTATTAATACGTCAATTATTATTCCTCTCGAACAGCGCCAGTTACATGTACGCCGTACACTTTTATAATCTTGCGTTTTTTTTATATGTTTATGGTAACACATAAATTTGCTTTGCTCAACGTTGTAAGCTCGAAGTATCAAACTTTGGCAGGTCAGGTTTATTTTCGGTTTTATCATCACCCACGAAACAAAGTGAAGATGAGCCTGTATCGTCCGTGGCAAGGAGAGTGTCAGAAAGCTCTGAGCCCCGGATTGTCCCCCAATGACTGGAGAGTATAGGACGTTTTTTTCGAATCATCTGACTCCTCAAAATTTATATACATATATCTTTTTTCAATCGAAGGCATGATATGAAATTGAGAAATGTTGGCAACGCAGAACCGAGTAGCAATTTGCTATCGAAACTCTGTACTCTTCTGCTGGTTCTTCTGTTCCAGTGAGGCTTCTGCTCGTATTGTGCCAGTGAAGGCACCTACCGGATTGTTGAAATGTTTAACAAATCCATTTTTCTTCACCTTTCCTCATGGTATACTCATATACTCCTTTCAATATATTGTCATGATTGTCCTCTAACATATCACGTGATCAGCATCGGAGGCAAATTCGACTTTGGCTTCGATTTAGTTATATATAGGAATCAGGTTAACTGTCAACACAAAAATATACTCACTTTTTAATGTTTTTCAAATCGACTTTTTTATTCCTACTACATGTTTCGGTCTTCTTCGACCGAAGTATGTAGCAGGAATAAAAAAATTCGAATTGAAAAACACTAAAAGGCGAGTATATGTTTTGTGTTGACGGTTAACCCAATTCCTATGTATATCTGGAACACACAACAGGATGCAACCACTGAAGTAGTTCGGATTAGGTTTTCGTATCGAATTTTAGCTTCAGAGGACTCTGGTATCGGCTTCTCGATTTCACCATGGAAAGTATTCTATATGGAACTTCCGATCCCGAAGCGTCTGCATGTTAAAAAGGGCTAATTGAATTTATCTTAGGCTAGGTTAGGTTAGGGTAATGCTTGCTACCATTCAGTTCAGAACCTTTTGTCTTCTCGTCTGCTGTGCAAAAACATAAAATTTAGAATATATAGAACTATAATTTTGCCTGTGGTTCTGTATGGGTGTGAAACCTGGTCTCTGACATTAAGGGAGGAACATAGACTGAGGGTGTTTGAGAACAGGGCGCTGTGGAGAATATATGGACCGAAGGGAAGATAAAGTGACGGGAGTTTGAAGAAAACTGCATAATGAGGAGCTTCATAACTTGTACTCTTCTCCAAGTAAAATTAGAACGATCAAGTGAAGGAGGATGAGCTGGGCAGGGCATGTAGCACGAATGGGGGAGACGAGAAATGCATGTAGGATATTGGTAGGAAAGCCAGAAGGAAAGAGACTGTCTGTAACCTGGAGTTCTTCATTTGGTTTCTACGTCGTACATGACCAAGACGCAAGCGTTTCTGTCAGCGTATTGTTATTTTCCTCGGAGCTTATCACACGGTCATCGTCAGAAGCAACTGTTGAATCTGGGATTCTTAGTTCCGCGTGACTCTATGTGGTTTCGGCTACTCCACTCTAAAAATCATTCAATTCTGAAATGTTTGTGTCATTAAGTCTTAGCTAGCCTGATGGGTGTTCTTCCGGCGAATTTGCGTCAGCATGTGTCTCCTCATTCCCTTATTCCGCTTAATTACAGGTGCAGTCTCCTATAAAGATTTGTTTTTCATAAGAAAGAAGTAAAGCTATCCCTGTAACAGGCCGTAGAGGCCCATAGGGTTGTGAGACGTCGAGGCTTCCACATTTCCCAGACAATCGGCTCAAAGATGGCGGTGAGGTTGTCAGCCTAACACGCCGGCTACCCTTTAACCCCAGGAAGATTCCTGGTACTCATTTCTGCTAGAGGCTTAGTCGACTTAAGGGCCATAGTGCAGCTGGAATGATTAGGTCAACTGAAAAATCTGGTGACCTCGTCGGGAATTTTGCCCGTGACCTTCCGGCTTGTATCATTTAAGCCTACATGTTACTTGACATTAGTTAAGGTTAGGGAGAGATGAAGCTTACAATGCATGGTAAAACCAGGAAATGCATATGCGTGTTTATTTAGTTTGTTTTGCGTGATTACATACGCTTATCAACTAAATGACTCAATAATCTCGTAGCAGAACCCAAACGTCTAATACCAGTAACACCAATTTTCGTGATTCCGAGCTAGTTACATACACCTTCCAGCAGAACAAACCGTCTCCATAAGGGCCACATTTTCTGTGATCTTTCCTAACTGAGGATATCCTATTATGACCACATTTGTTCTGGAAGGAACTACAGAAAGTTTTGAGATACTTCGGTCAAGATGGAGGTTACCCGGGACCACTCGAATGCTCTGCAGGAGTATTAACCTCTGCGTCGCGTCATTCGGTAATGCAATTGCTACACCACCCACCGTGCCACTCCTGCTTACTCATTCATCACGACCACTGACCTCGTATTGTATAAACACGTCTTTCTTCCATTTTTTTACACCGAGATTCTACCAAATCTCTATTTTCCGTGACTGAGGCTGTGTTTAACTTTGCAGTGTTTATTGTGCTCTTTATTTTATCGTTCATGTGAAAAGATAACAGCCTTGTGCAGTGCAGGCCACGTCAGAGCGAAACCTTGAGGACCAGTTATGTGGAGTGTATATTCCTATCCGCAGTCTGTGGTCCGCGCAGTTCTGGACCGCCGTCAGCCTGTGGTGTTCCGAGTGGAAACACTCTGGGACGGTGTGGTTGTAGCGTAGCAGCTGTTCCGCGGTGCCACGGACTAACAAAGGAACCTTGTTCGAGTTTGCTGAAAAGGTAAGTTTCGAGACTCTCTTCATCGTGTGCTTCATACCTGTTGTCCCCTGCTTGAGTGCCTTGCGGCAAGGCTGGCTCAGTCGCCCTTACAGTGTCTTCCTGTCTGTCCTGTCTCCCCCGCTTCTCCATACAATCTTTCATTGTAATTTTATGTTTTTATAAAAACTTATTAATATATATATATATATACACACACACAAATGTATTAATACATAAATTTATGTTTTATTTTTAAATGTTCTGAATGGCGCCTCATATTGAATTTCGATATTTTCATTGTAAAATTTAAATAAAACGAAACACTGCATTAAGAAGCATAAAGAATATAAGAACAATATAAGAAGTGCTCAAGAAATGCCCAAGAACTTGCGAGCATTTTATGGAACCCAAAGTTTCATTACCGTGTTTACAAGAAGCCGCTAATGTTTCTTATCCTAAGCTAGATGAATCCAGCTCGCAAACTTACATCCTATTTTTCTGAGATACATGTTTTATTATCCTCTCATCTACGTCTAGGTCTTCCTACCAAAACTCTGTGCAATTCTTTTCCCTCCCATTCTTTCTACGTGTCCTGCACATCTCGTACTCTTTGATTTTATCATTCTGTTGTAGTAATATCTGAAGGGGAAGTACAAATTATGAAGCTCCTCATTATATATTTCTCCAACGTCCATCTATCCCTATCATATCTGACGAAAGCCGATCACGGTGGCCACGCGGTCTAAGGCATGAACTGTCTTCGCTCGCTCGAAAGCTTGTATCGTGGATTCGAATCCAAATCAAGACACGGATATCTGCCTGCGTTTATTCTGTGTCTGTGTTGTTGTGTGTATAAATAGGAGCCTTGCGACGGGCTGATCCCTTGTCCAAGGAGTCATACCGACTCTGTATATGATTAAGAAATTGAGAATGCGGCCAAGTTCCAACAAAGGACTGTAGAGCCATAGATAGATATAATTTTTTTATTGCTAGTGCGGTGGGGCTAAGTCCCCTGTACTGCGGCCACTTCTGGCCTATTGTACCAGTCCCAGATGATAGGTGAAGGTGATTGTGGAGCAAATGGTGGAATGAAGATTGGCAGGGGAAACCGAAGTACTCGGAGAAAACCTGCTCCAGCGCCACTTTGTCCACCACAAATCCCACTTGATCAGACCGGGGATCGAACCCGGGCCGCCGCGGTGGGAAGCCAGCGACTAACCGCTTGAGCTATTGCGCGGTGTTACATAGATATGTATCCAACGAAATGAGTACTAATTGTGTAATTAACATTTCATTTCCTAACATTGTAGAAGCAATAAACACGCATGGCAAATACGTAAACATTAAGACGAAAGAAGTTGTCATGCACTGCAATGCTGTACCGTATAGTGTAAGATCTATGCCCTATACAAGCCGCTGTACGGCTGTAACTAAGAACTAATCGTGTTAATAAACCAGTCATGTTTAACAGTATTAACATAACACAAAAATACTGACGGAATGGAAAGTGCAGAAGCAAATAAGAACTCTTCGCGTAAATGAAGACAGTTGACAGAGGAAAAGGGTGGAAAAAAGGAGAATAATATACAAAAAAAAAAACATTTCCAACAAAGAAATAATCTTTTAAAAATCCTCTTTTCCATGCATAATATTTACAGTACTTGTACATGAACCCTTACGCTATGCAGTTTCTCTTGTCCAGCTACTGTAATATTTCCTTTACGGTGACACAATTATCAATTTTACGGTCACTGTTTTAAAGACAAGATTTTTATGCATTTTTATAAGCAAATATTCTATTCCATTAACACTGCTATGGTACGGCAACCATACATTGAACGGGTATAAAGTGACTGAAAATCTGTCATTCTGAGAGAATAAAGGAATGATGTTGCAGGATTTGCCCTTCAGTAGGGATGTACTCAATGACAAGTGAGAATTTCTGTGCTCCCAAAAAATACTAACTCTTGTTGGTCTCAAGAGGACGCTTTTGTACCTTGCTCCTACAGTTTCGCATCTGATGTGATAAAAAAAATGCATTCTTCACTGCGCGAAAGGAGATCCGAAGTCTTGTGTTCCGTGTGCCTCACTGTGAACTGTAGGTTTGCAGAAAAAACACTGCGTAGTGAGGTTTTACATTTACATGGTATGCTCCCTTTTAATATCTGGTCTCCCTCTGGAGATTGTCACCTTATGGCAGAAACATATCTGGGACATAATAGTATTTGATCAATAAAAATGAAATATATTAGATATACATGGATGGTAATTTTTCATATTATTTTTACCCGAGTAATGTAACATTCAACTGAAATTTTATGTTTTATCATATTTATAAAAAATATGAAATTTGATCAAAATCCTAATTCTACCCCCTCTTACGAATAATATTAGATTCAGTATAATACGTTCTTATTTTGCAGACGATATAAAGGTAAATGCAAAGTTGTCTCTCTGTTTAACTAATTAAGCACTGGGCCATGAAGACGTAGGGGGAGTGGGTGTATAGACCCACATTTTCTTGACCTCGGTACTAGTTGGAGGTGAGCGGTCAGCCTCACGTCCCGGCCACTTTACCTGTGGTACCCATTGGATAGTAGGTTGGGTGGACCCCAGAGCCGGTCAGGACGGCGTGGAGAAGAGAAAATTCTTGACCTTACCGGGACTCGAACTCCGACCCCTCGGCCGTTGAGCCCGTAGCCAGTCGCTATACCAACTGCGCTATCCCCGCTCGTGCAGACGATATAAATCTCGGTGAGAATTCTCTGAGCGAGACAAAGCTCAGCCTATACCACGCCTTCAGATTCATGAAGAAGGCCAGTTCTGGAGCGAAACAGTGAGCAATAGTTACACGATATACATATTCAGCCATCAGGGTCATTATCTTTGAACAATGGAGCTATTTAATTGCTACATCAAAGACTCATTGTTGCATACAGACTAAAGCAGACAGCTCTACTACGCTAATGTAAAAGCTATATACAGGGGTGGGTAAAGTACGACTTGCAGCGATACTGAAAAATTGCTTAATAATTTTTACTCTAGCATAATCAATGCAAGGAGAATACTGTAATTAACTGGAGCAACGAACTCCATGGAGCGAATACTTCTTGAGAATCTGACAATCGTTTATCTAGTCAAGAAATTCTTGTCTCTTATGGAACCCGAAACGTCGTTACCATTCTCACAAGCGTCCACCACAAGTCCATATTATGAGGAAGATGGATCCAGTATTACAACACGTAATCAAACAAGTAAACAGAAATACCGCATTCACCGTAATACAATATTTTGAGTCTCTAGTAAATACAACCAGTCTTTTTCATTCATTGTAATAAATTTTAGTATGACAAAGTTGACTGACCGCTTCTGTGGTCTAGTGGTCAGAGTTCCTGGCTACAGATCCAGAGGTCCCGGGTTCAATTCCCGGTGCTATAAGATTTTCTGAGTAGTAGTGGATCTGGAACGAGGTCCACTCAGCCTCTTGAGGATAATTGAGGACCTGTTTGAAGGAAATAGCAGCTCCGGTCTAGAAAACCGAAATTAACGGCCGTGGGGATTCGTTACGCTGACCATGCGACACCATCTATCCGATAAAGTTGGTATGAACTTCGCAGACAAGCGGCGGTAGCTGGGTCGGTATAGTTCGTTTGTGAACTAAAGCCACGGAGTTTAGTTTTTTTATGAGAAAGTTGATTGTAGCCTATTGCAGATTCGATTTAATGCGCCTCTTAATATTAAAATGGACGTGTGAAAAAGTGCTGTTGACTTCCCCTAGGAAAATCTGATGCCTCGAACGCTTCTTTCTACATTTGTTGTATTCATTACATTTGAATCTCCCATTCGGTCTATATGATCATACACAGCTTGAAACATATTCATTCATTCATTCATCCATCAATGGCTCTAGAGTCCTTTGTTAAACCTGGCCTCTTCTTCAGTTTCGTAATCTTTTTCATACAGACGGTAGGACTCCTTGGACGAGAGATCAGCCCGCCGCAAGGCCGCTACCTACACACAGGACAACACAAACACAGAATAAACGCACACATAGACATCCATGCCTTGAGTGTGATTCGAACCCACGATTCTAGCGTTTGAGAGAACGAAGACAGTTCATGCCTTAGACCGCGTGGCCACTGTGATCGGCGGTGGAAACATACATTTAAATAAATTATAAACTGAACACCAAAACTTCTAAAGATTTTCTTAAAATATATTCTGAAAAATAATGGAAAGCGACACAATATTTCAACTAGTGCTGTTAGGGCGATAATTGAATGGACGGGATTTGCGTTAACGTGTGGGAGGTTGGAATTCATACAACTTTCTAAGAGATTCTCAAGGAAACAGACGACTTGAGTCTGGTTCTTGATTTCTAACGTTTTCTCATCTGCGTAAGTAATTAGTGTCGAATGTCTGGGTGGTGAGAATGATGAATTCGGATGAAAGAGAACATGACCCATTTAACCGTGTTGTTCTGGCGACTGCCTGGAAGAACCGTACAAATCGCTTTAAACTTCTGCCACAATATCCGGACTTTAGAACCTTCTGAGTACACAGGAGGAGCGCACTTGTTGTGGCGGTGGGGTTGGGTTTTCTGGGAGACCTAGCCCTAGATGGGAGTACAGTACTGCAATAGAAGCTCAGTAGGCGGCAATAGGCTTCAGTCAAGTAGGTCAGGAGCTCGCTTTTGTACGCTGAAATTAAAATTAAAATTTCATAAAAGAATGAAATATCTTGACCAGGTGAACAACTAACACATTTTCAGGTTATACTCTGCAAGATGAATTCAATTAGAAACAGATGTGATTGTAGAGGAAATGTCTTAATTTTCTTCATCTGTAACGGATTAGGTCCAATAGCCTCTTTAGGATTCATGATCAGTTCTGAAAGAATTTTTTTTTTAATGAATATGAGAGAATTTCCGAAAAGGGGGATCCGCCCACCGCAATTCCTCCAGGAATTGATATTTCTTTATACATAATTATTATTTAGTCAGGGAGTCGTGATAGGTCAAT